GGGCCACTGGGAACTCACGGGGTCTAATGAGAGAACCATACATTGTTAAAGACGCTGAGCGCCGGACTCGGACTCCACTAAATCCAATCCTCAGATTAAGGCCCAAATAGAAAATGTGGGTGCTCCTAGCACAGACTTTCTATTAAGAAATAGGCTTGGCCCTGGCCGGCGGCTCAGCGCTTAAAGTGTTGGCCTGAGTACCAAAGGGTCTGGGGGTTCGATTCCCTGTCAAGGGCACATAGCAGGGTTGTGGGTTCGATCCTCAGTCAGGGTGATGTGGGAGCATCCAATCAATGTGTCTCTCTCACATCAGTGTTTCTCTCTCTCTTCCTCTCTCTCTCCCCCCTTCCTTCCCTTCCACTCTCTCTAAAATCAATGGAAAAAGTATCCTCAGGTGAGGATTAAAAATAAAGAAATAAAATAAAAACTGCAAACCAGCAAATCTGTCTTTCTCTCCCCTTAAAAAAAAAGAAAGAAAAGAAACTGGAACATTTCCCTCTGTTCTGGTCTCCCCTTGAACCCTCCTCCGGCTGGGGGCGGGGCTAGCCAAGCAGCAGAAGGCGACATGAAGGCCTGGGCAGTGCACCCCGGGCTCCCGTCTGAGCGGGGGCAGACAGTCTCGGTGCCTTTTAAGAGCTGGTAACGAGAAGAGGAGCCAGTCTTCATGACTTAAGGCCTTAGCCCACTGCTGTGTCCTGAGCTGGTGGGAAAGTCATCGCAGCCGCTGCGGGTTCATGTGTTTGAGGGGGGCCTTCCCGTGTGGCTTCTCTTGCCTGTGTCTGCTGTGGACCCTCCACTTGCCCCTCACAGGTGGGCTTTGAGATTTATCGGGTCAAGAAGATGCCACTGCGAATGGAGGGACCGGCTTCCCAGAGGCCCCGGGAGCCACCTCCCTCTCTGCCCCCCCGTCCCCCCGCCCCCCTCCTGCCGGCACTGTTACACCTACTGAGTGCCCCTGAGGGAAGCAGGTGTGTGTGGGGGTTTCCAATGACCCAAAGGCATGGAGTCAGGCATGAGCTTCTGCATCTTCTCCACCCCGCCCTGGGGCCTCCACTCTCCCCCACGTGCAGCCACAGAGCCTCGCTGCTCAGCCGCGACCTTCCTTCCTTAGCATAGACTGTGACACCGGCTGTGAGGCAGACGGGACTGGAGGGGCCTGGGCGGGGACTACGGGGTGATGGCTCCTCTCCCTGATGAGTCCTGTGACCCAGGGTCAGAAGTGCCACTGAGTCCTTGCTGGTCCCTCAAGCCCAGGGCAGGTGGTCACAGTGAGGGAGGGAGGCCCTCAGTCCCGGTGCCAGCTGAGGGCGGGCAAATTCCTTTATTGAGTAAACTAGAGGCCCGGTGCATGACATGCATGCACACAGGGGGTCTCTCAGCCTGGCCTGCACCCTCTCACAGTCCGGGACCCCTCGGGGAATGTCCGCCTGCTGCAGAGGCCAGAGAGGCTCCTGCCACCACCACTGCACTCTCCAGCCATGAGCCGGGCTTACAGGAGCAAACTGACCACCAGGGGGCAGCTCCTATGTTGAGCGTCTGCCCCGTGGTGGTCAGCGCACATCATAGCGACTGGTCGACTGGTCATTCTGGTCGTTCCACCATTTGATCACTGGGCTTTTATTACATAGGATGCTCGGTGGAATGTTTTCTAGGAGGAGCTCGGTGCCCAGGGCGCCTCTGGGTCTTCAGCTGCACTGAGCGTTGCCCTCAGTGGCTCACCACAGGCACCCAACGCCCAGAGTCCTGGCTGCACCGAGCCTCTCCCCAGAGAATCAAACCATCTGACTGCTTTAGCTGATGTGGTGTTGGTGAGAGTAATAGTAATAAGACGCGTTTTTTTATTTTTTTTAATCGAAAATGGGTTTTGAGAAAATGACAAAAAAAACAACAAAATCAAAACAACCAACAAACCACCAATAAGCCCGGCAGCTGGCAGGAAACACGGGGGCCAATTGCCTTCATGCGGCTCGGAGTAGCCGAGATGGGATTGTCACACCATGTCCCCCAAGGCTCTCTGCCCCCTGAAGCCAGAGGGTCTCCTGTTATGGCTCCAAGCCCAGCAAGCACAGCCCTGAAGGAAACGGGGGACACCGGCCACACCGCTGACTTACGGAGCCCGAGAAACTGCTCTTTGAATCCGCTGGGCCTCCCGGGGTCTGTGGGGGCTCCCGGGGTCTGTGGGGCTTCCCGGGTCTGAGGGGCCTCCCAGGGTCTGTGGGGCTCGGGTCTGTGGGAGCCCGAGAAACTGCTCTTTGAATCCGCTGGGCCTCCCGGGGTCTGTGGGGGCTCCCGGGGTCTGTGGGGCTTCCCGGGTCTGAGGGGCCTCCCAGGGTCTGTGGGGCTCCCCGGGGTCTGTGGGGCTCCCGGGGGTCTGTGGGGCTCCCCGGGTCTGAGGGGCTTCCCGGGGTCTGAGGGGCTTCCCTGGGTCTGAGGGGCTTCCAGGGGTCTGTGGGGCTCCCCGGGTGTGCCGGGCCTCCCGGGGTCTGCGGGGCTGACAGGGCTGCCGAGGAGAAGCAGTGATTAAGGACAAGCACCCAGGTCTTCTGAGAGAGAATCAAAGGAGCTTGAGTGGTGAACCGGCCCTGGCCCCCTGACTCCTGAGCCCACAGCGGGCCTCTTGGGCAGGGCGAGCGCTGGCTGCCCCCCGCCATCCGGGCCCCAGTGCCGCCCGGCCGCCCCCATGGCCCCTTAGCCCTGCGACCAGGGCTCCCACTCGGCCGGGCTCTGCACTCATCAGCCTTCCCACTGGGAAGCCTGCGCGCTCCAAAGCCCGGGGCAGCGGCAGCTGTGCGTGAATTCCGCCAGAAATCCTTCAGGAGAAGGGGGACAGGGACACAGCTATCCGAGGAAAAGTCCTTTAAACATGTCTTCCTCCGACTGCTGTTAGAAGCAAAGCAAAGCCCCACTGGACGATGGGACTAAGCTGAACGGTGGGGGCTCCCACCTCCTCCGACCACCCCGCCCTGGAAACCTTCACAGCGGCCCCGCTTCCCGAGACAACCCTGCCCGGAGCCCTCACATCAGCGCTCTCAGCAGAGACACTCCCAGGGCCACGCGGGACGGGCAGCCCAGGGCATCTTTTAAAAGCAGAAGGGGGGAGGCAGACCCCTGGGCACTCACTCCGCGCTCTGCCTCACCTGCCCGCGGTGGCTCAGGTGACTGCAGGCACCACAAACACAGACCTATTTCCGTGCCAGGGCACAGGCGCGCGCACAGGCGGGTCCCCGCGTTACCTGCTCCTGCTGCTGCACGGATTTCACCGAAGCATTGGGCTCCTTGGCCGTGGTCATGACCGCGCGTCTGGGCGCTCACCAGCTCGGGCAGGTGCGATCCGACTGGGAGTGTGGAGCCCCCGGAGTGCAGTTGGCGAGGGGACTGAGGTTCAGTCCATACCCCGAAACCTCACGGCTATTCCGGAGCGGGTGGGGGAGAAGGGTGGGCAGGCCAGCCTGGTTTCCCCTTTAAAAGCCGAGAACGGGGAGCGGATCCGAAGAAGGAAGATGCCCAGGCTTAGTGGGGCTTCTCCCGTTAGCAACAGCCTCTGCAATCCCACAGAAACAATGTCACTGCTTAGCAACCAGCAACTGGCGGCGCGGTGCAGGGAGGGGACCCGAGTGCGCGCAGCTCCCGCCCGCCTCCGCGCACCGCGCATGCTCTGCTGCGGCTCCGGGTGGGGAGGGGGCGCCATGGGAAAGGAGGCTGGAGGTGGGAGGGCGAAGGAGGGGACACGCGGGAGGAGGGGACGCCAGGGATAGGAGAGACTGGGGTGGACGGGGAGTTGGGAGAGGGGAGGAGGAGGGGGCGCGCCATGGAGAGGAGGCTGGAGAGGGGATACCAGGGGTTTGCGGAGGAGGCCCTTGGAAAGGCGGAGGGACCCAGACCTGGAACCCAGGCGGGGGGAAGCTAGTCCCTGCCCTCTCCACTGCCCAGGTGGGGAACCTGCGCCCCCGCAGCAGTCCTGAGGTGCGGGTCGCACCCGGGCGGGGCGCTAAGGAGCCGCGAGAGGGGTGTTTTTTCCTGATGTCAATGCCCAGGCGCCTATGAGGAGGCAGGTGGTCTCTGGGCACCAGAGAATGGCATCTTTGCTGTGTGCCAGGTGGGTCGTGCAGAAAGCTAGTGGTGGGAATCTTGGCCTTTATTTTCCTTAAATTCCAGAAAACTCGGTTCATCTTTTAATCCAAAGACTCTCTGGTTTGTCTTTGAAAATCCACCAGGCCCTCCAGGGTGTCTGGTTAAAGGCAAGAGCCTCCAGCGTGGCCTGAGGAGTCTGGTCAAAGGCTAGCCAGCAGGGCACAGGTGGGAGATGGCGGCCAGGCTGCCTACCCAGGCCCAGGCTCCCTGCCCTCCCCCTGCCCTGGCCCCAGCTGCCTGCCCTGCGCTGCTCTCAGGGCACAGGTGCTGCCCCAGGAGAAAGCCCTGTGGGGGCCCCAGAGAGAGTTCAGCTGGACAGTCCTTTGCAGGTGGGAGCACTTCAGTCCCTGCTTCTCCCGCTCTCCCTGCTTTGCGCCTCCCCTCCACCAGGGGCTCAGGTGAGCACTGCAGGCCGGAGAGCAGGCCCAGGCACCCGGTGCAGACAGATGGTCTCAGGGAGAATGTGCTCAGCGCTCAGCATGTTCCCTCGCTCCTCAGCTCCTTGCAGAGACAGGCCAAGCCATAGGCTTCCCTCTCCAAGGCGCCTACAGGAAGCCTCTCATTCAGCTCCTCCCGACGCCCCCTGGAGCCCCCATTTTCCAGGACACCCTGGCAGGATCCAGGGCACTTGTCCTCCCAGGCTGCCAGGTGAATCCCCAGAGTGGCACTGGGGCCTGGCCACCCCTGCCCGGCCTGCCCTGCATTCTGGTCCAAGTAGTTCCCTGGCACAGTGGACAGAGGCTGGTTTGGCTGAGCCTCGAGAGAAGGAGCCCCCTCCCCCCATGTAAAACCCTCACCAGAGGGCTGTGCTCTGCATGGAGCTCCCCCTAGACCCCGCAGGGCAGGGAGGGAGTGGGCAGCGAGGCCCCCGCTGGTCCATCTCTGGGGCTCTGCTCTCTGAGTGTGGGGAGCAGCGTGGGTGAAGGGAGTGAGCGGCCCAGCAAGCTCTCAGGGGCGTCCTCCTCAGTTACAGGTTCCGAGTACAGAGCCAAGCCGGGGAGGTGCTCAGGCCGTCCTGCCACAAAGCCCGGCAGCAGTGACACAAACAGGGGGCCTGGCACTGCCCCTCACACCTGGACTGCAGCGGCCCAGGAGGACCTTGGTGACAGGTGGGACCACGGTCCCTGATGACATCCTTCCCCAGCTCAGTCCCTCTGAGCATCACAGAACCAGGCTGTCCTCCAGTTTCTTCTTCAGTGAAAACCCCTGAGGGGTCAGACCTTAAATGACTGGCTGCTAAACACCCCCCAGGGCCCTCTGCTAGCCCACGCGGGCCAGGCCCCCCAGCTGGTGCCTGGTGCGCAGGTGCGTGCTGGGGGGACCCCATGAACCCCGTCCTTTGGGTAACTATAGTCTACTTCTCAGTAAAAATGTGAAGCATTATTTTACATCTAAAATGAATATGATAGAATGCAGAGTTTGCACACATTTGCAAGATTCTACCTGATACTTCATAGGAGTCTCCTGTTGGCACCAGATCATCGGGTCACTTGGGCGCCTGCCTGGCCAGCACCCAAAGCCCTCACCTCATTCACCAGCTCTGCCCTTCAGAAGCCACTGGGGGGAGCGTGGGAGAAGGCCTGGCCCAGGGCAGGCAGCTGTGCCCCTCAGACCTTTTCCGGGATGTCCTGGCACCAGGTCCCCATGGCCGTACTTGACTTGGGCAGCTATTGCTAGAGAAAGGGCAGGACTTCATGTGAGGCATGATGAGATGGATGGACCAGAGGGTGTCACTCAGGGTGAAGTAAGCCAGTCACAGGAGGACACGTTCTACAGGATGCCATTCTGCGAGAAATCTAAAATAATCAACTAAAAGCAGGAATAGGACAGTGACTGCCATTTACCCATTTACTCTGCGGTCGTTACCAATGCCGCATCGTGCACTTAAAAATCTCAGAGGGTAGATCTGGTAAGAGAGAGAAAGGGCTGCCTTTTACCCTCATTGTGAAAGGCACCAGTGTCCCTCCAGGGCAGCAAAGCCAACCTTTCCGACCTCACGCATCACCAGCGGTCTGCAGACGACCACTGGTTGGCAACTGCTGCTCCAGAGGACACACACTGTGCCCAGGTTCCTCTCAAGTTCAAGGCCTGTGATGACTATGGCTATGGAGAGCTATTTTTTGAGTCCACATGTAAGTGACTTATTTACTTAGCATCATACTCTCTAGGACAGTGATGGCGAACCTATGACACGCGAACTCATTTTTTTGGTTGATTTTTCTTTGTTAAATGGCATTTAAATATTTAAAATAAATATCAAAAATATAAGCCTTTGTTTTACTATGGTTGCAAATATCAAAAAGTTTCTGTATGTGACATGGCACCAGAGTTAAGTTAGGGTTTTTCAAAATGCTGACACGCCGAGCTCAAAAGGTTCGCCATCACTGCTTAGGACAATCCATGTTGTCACAGTGCCATGACTTGATCCTTCCCATGGCTGAGTAATAGTCCATGTCATGTAGACCACATCTTATTTACCCAGTCTGTCAGCATTTTGGTTGCTTCCACCTCTTGGCTACTGTATATAACGTTGCAGTGAACATAGGGGTGCAAATATATTTTCAAGTTAGTACTTCTGTTTTCTTCGGATAAATACCCAGACTTGGAATTGCCTGGTCATGTGGTAGCTCTATTTTTAATTTTTTGAGGACCCTCCACACTGTCTTCCACAGTGGCTGCCCCAGTCTGCATTCCCACCAGCAGTGCACACGCCTCCTTTCCCCCCAAACCCTCGCCAGCACTTGTTGTTTGTTGATTTATTGATGGCAGCCATTCTAGCAGGTGAGGTGATACCCCATAGAGGTTTTAGTTTGCATTTCCTTGTAATTAATGAGGCTGAGCATCTTTTCATATGTCTGTTGGCATCTATATGTCCTCTTGGGAGAAATGTTATTATTAATCATCTCGTGAAAGGCCCGCTCTGCAACAGGCAGGTTCTGAGGTGCTGGGTGGGGACTTCACCGTGTGAATCTGGGGAAGGACACATTCAGCCCTTTCACCCACTGTTAGCCCGTTTACTGCCCAGGACATTGAGCTTGAAATGAATAAGAAGCTCTTCCAAAGCACCAATCACAGACGCAGAGCCGGCATTCAGATCCAGTTCTGCTGGTCACAGCCTTTGTCTCACACACACATGCACACACGTGCACACACATGCACAGGTACAAACACACATGCTCTTCCCATGTCTCCTCAAACACCAGCCAGGGCTTGAGCAGAGGCCCTTCTCCTTAACTCTCCATGCCCTGGTTCTGCCCAGCCACAGGCAGCTGGAGCCCCGCTCAGGCCGGGCTTGGCAAGTCCCTTCCACTGGGTCTGGGGGGGCCCTCTCAGAAGGAGCCCCTCCCAAGTGGGTGCTCCCCTTGCCCGAGGCAGGGACAGAGGCGCTGCCAGCAGAAGGACCTTCATTCCACAGCAGCTGAGCACGTTAGGAGCAGCCACGACCCTGTACAAGGACAGCGCTGGCGCCTGGGCCTGGCCCAACCAGCTCCTCATGGTGCCTGCGGGCACCAGCAGCTGGAGCCTGGGGAGAGGGCAGGTGGCCTGCCCACGAGGACTCTGCCAGCTGCCTGTCTTACTGTGTTATTCACATCCCATCGTCACTGGGACCAGTGCTCATGACACTGAGAATCTCTGATGCCTGCAGGCCCACTGAAGGGACCTGAGGCACACGGCCCTTGCAGGTGCCCCTGGGGGAGGCCGCTCAGGCAGCCTAGATCCTCTCTCCCCTCCATTCCTGTCCGACGAGGCCACTGGGTCCCCCTGCAGCTCAAGGCTACTCCCTCCTCTGGTCTCCGCTCTCCTCGCCCAGAGTAGCTGCCTATCCGCTAAGACAGCTTCCCTTCAAGGACCTGTCCATCAGCAAGTCTGTATCAAACACCTACTCTGTGCAGACAGCAAAACCACCCGCAAGAAGCAGGACGCTGGCTGCCCTGTTGCTATAAGGTAGAGGTCGAGATGTCTATACAGTAGGTAGGATCCTGAAGATTTGGAATATTTCAGCATTAACCATATGCAAGATAAGCTACTCGTAATTACAGCTCCTGAAAATAAAAGAGGATATGGACACAAGGTGAGAATCCCTGAGGGAAAAAAATGGAGAGGTGAAGGGGGGGGTGGGGAAGAAGGGAGAGATTAAAGAATTGGCTCACTTGGCTGTAGGGCTTTCGAGGGCTGCAGGTCGGACAGCAGCTGGGCCCAGGGGAGAGCTGATGCCGCATGGCAGGTCCCAGGCCCCTGCGCAGCCCCCTCTCCTGGGAGAGTCTGTCTGTCTCTCCTGTAGCCGTCAATCGGCTGGATGTGCCCACCACCACCCCAGCACAAAACCTCTAGCAGCATCTAGTTTGACCAAAAACTAGGTACCATGGCCCAGCCCTGTTGATACATGAACTTGACTGTGAGGCCTGCACGTAGACGTGATTGGCACAGAATCTGCAGTGACTCTTCTCAATGCCCTCCCCCCCGCAACTTCTCCCTCTGCCCATCTTCCTCCCTGGAATGCTTGCTGCCATCTGGAGACCAAGACCGTTCACGGAAGATGGAGAAGGGCCTAGGTACCTGAGGAGCTTATGCTGAGTTGCCATGGCAACCTGGACTGTTCTCCCCCAATTTCATATCCAGGAAAAGTAATGAGCTCCTGCTTCATAGAAGTGCTGTTAGTGTAGGTTCTCTGGCATCACGGCCAGGCGAACTCATGCCTAGGACACAGATTCCTGCTCTGTCTGCTCTTCGTAGCTCTCCTACCAGCGTGTTAAAGTGTCCCCGAGCATCACCGCCCCTTAAATTAGGAAGGAGCTGTCGTTGACCCATTGTATTCGAGCTACTCAGTTCACGTTGATTTCTCCAGGCGGCGCAGGAGTGAGCATCTAAGTCAGGTTCCCGGACTGTTGCCCATGGACCAACACCCAACCACTTCCTGTCTTTTAACTAAAGATTTATTGGGATGGGGTTGTGCCATTCACTTATGTATTATTTAAAGGCTACATTCGCACTAAAATGGCTGAGATGACATTTGTGACAAAATCCATGTGGCCTGCAGAGTATCAACCATTCACTGTCTGTGTTTTGCAGAGGAAGTTGCAGCGCCCTGGTCTACAGTGCCTGTGACACGTCAAGGTGTGTATGCAGTTCCCTCAGAAGATTCAATAGAAAAAACCTCCCAGCGTCCAGGTAGACCATCTGCCCTCCTCCCGGAAGGAAAGGCTCAGACACAAACTCTAACACAATGTTACTCCTCATATCTTAACACTAAGACACTCATCGGCCCAGCAGACACGGCTCGGCTTGCAGCAGCGACAGTCTCTGTGCTCATCACCACAGGCCGCCTGCCCCCTGCCAGGTCCATGTCATTGTCCGGACGGTGGACAGAGGTGGGCGAGGAGCCAGCACCACACTGCAACATGCACAACTCCGTAGGGCACAGGGGGTCGTGGGCGGGGCAGGGCCTTGGAGCGGGATCTCCTGTGGATTTGGGAAGACGAGAGGCACCCTCATGAGTTGCCGTATCCATACCTGCATCACTCAGTGGCTGGTTTGAATACGTGAATAACAGGATGTATTCGAAGGATTCAGTGACAAGCCACACTTGAATGCTTTTCATGCTTTCCCTTCATTGCTGACTACTAACCTTTACAAAGTACTGGTAACTGCTCATCAGGGGACCAAGGCCCCAAGGGGCGTGGCCTGAGCCAACGGGCTCAGTTGCCCCGGAAGCTTGTGGCTCTGTGTTTATTGAGAAACTACTGTGTGTATGAGCCAGGAAAGCTGCTCACATGCCTCACCGTCTAGCAGGAGGCAAACTTGTAACAACGAAATCCTGTGGTCCTGCCTCAGGAAAGGCAAGGAGGGAGATTGGATGTGGGAGGTTTCCAGGCAACTGGGGTCCACCTGCTGGCGGGCTCTGTAGGGGGCCTTGGCTGCACCCCATGCAGTGATGAGAAGCATGGGGGGTGACGAGAAGCAAGAAATTGCACAGAGCAGCATGCGTGGATCATGAACACGGTGCTCAGGCAAAACAATTGGAAAGATAAACATTTACATGTGTGCATGCAAACACATACATGGAATGTATATTTGCACAAATGTGTATACAAAGCACATCTCTGCATTTATACACAAACTCGGACCTTTCGCCAAAAAATTGCATGCAGAATTCATGTTTTGCAGAGATTCAGACAAGCAAAGCGACCCATCAAACCTAATACAATGTTTGCTGATGTGGGAGGGAGCAGGGACTAGCTTATGAGGAAGAGGGGAGGCATGATGGAGAAAAGGAAAAGAAGGAAGAGGAGGGAGTGAGGGTGGTTTGTTCCCTTGAGGACAACGGGCTATGAACTCCCCTCAGCAGTTTCTTCCCCTGAGTGCAGGCCAGAAGGTCACGGTGGAAGGTACGGGGAGCCCGCTGTGCTCACCAGTGGCACCATCTCATCTCACACGACACGCCTGGGGGGCAGGTGAGCTCTTACCTGCAGACCAGGAAACCGGCGCGTAGAGAAAATGGAACACCTGCCGCTGGCAGTGGTTTGGCTGATGGGCCAGATGTGCACCATGTCGCAGTCCCCTCCCCTCGCCTGGGGAGGGACCCCGCCTCTAAGCCTGCCATCCCTATGTCAGCTTCCAGCCGCAAAGTCCATGGCGTCAGCCAGGTGGATACTCCGAGGCTGACAGTCCCATTGCTGGACGTTGCTGTCATGCAAAAGGACCTTTAGACCAAGCCCTGTCCACGTGCACCCACTGGCGCTCAGGCAGCAGCCTCAATGCACCGTGAGAGCCCGATGCAGTGCTAAGGGCGTGGCGCTTTGATGACCTCATTTTCAATGTTCAGGTTTCAACCCGAAGTACTGCCACTGCATTCTCAATGCTTTGCCCTGTGTCCGCCCTGACCCACGCCCTCTCACACACAGCCGTGGAGCCAGGGCACTCCGGCACCCGGGCAGGTGGCCACAGGAGCCGCCGGGCACCACCGGGCACTGCCTGCTTCTCAGGCACCTCATGCGGCAGGGTGATCCTGGCAACAGTGCTGGGCAGGGGCGTGCTTGTGGTTTCCAGTGGCTGCAGCCCGGCATTGCGGGGCTCCTGGCTCGGTGCTGGCCGTGGCACCAGCCCCCATGTTTGTGTGACACGGTATGTGGGAGACCAGACTTCCCTGCTGTCACCACGTCTCAGTGTGTCCCAGGAAGGATGCCCTCGGCGGGACCCCTGGCACATCCTCCCACAGGCTCTCCCGCTCCCTGGTTGCCCAGACCTCTGCTCCCTCCTGTCTCTGCCGGGGCAAGGCTGTCAGAATGGGACCGGGTCAGGAAGAGTTTCCACCCCCATGAAGGAGAGCACGTCCCCAAGCCCCTAAGTCCTCATGGTTCCGTTTCCACACTGAGTGCGTGACAGGCAGGTCCCCGGCACCAGTGCAGCCTCACTGCCCAGCTCTGCAGAATACACCTGATGGCGCTTCGGGGACGAGTGGAAACCACATCCAAATGGGCCGCTTAAAATCGATGGCACATGCCACCCTGGCGATCTAAGGCGCAATGTGCTTTCACTGGGAAGGCATTGCGGAAGCAAGGGCATTACCAAAGGAGAGTCAGAGAACCACCCTCCCACCGAAGCACTGCCACTCACTCCATCCCAGACCCTCCATCTGGCGAGCTCCTATTCATCCTGCAACACCCACTTCAAATGCGCCCCTACCTCACCGTGGACTTGATCCCTTTTGCTCTGGGACATCACCCCCTTCTTATCTCAGCTTGTGCCCAGTGAGGTCACCTTGCAGCATCACTGTCCACTTTCCACCTGGCGCCCTGGCTGCTGTGGGTTTCTCCAGAGCCGGCAGGCCTGGGTGACATGAAAAGCTGCCTATCGGTTGAAGGAACAGCCCTGAGGTCAGAATAATGTCTTGTTTGCAAATGCCAGGCTGACGACTCACAAGCTACCAAGCCCAGCTCCAGCTGCTACTGGACACAGGCAGCCGCCTGGGGAACGCGCCGGAAGCACGAGATGACTCCATAACCCGTGGGCAGAGATCGGGGCTCAATGAGGGAGCCTCTGGGGTCAGACTGAGGTCACTTAAGGACACATCTCATCCTGTGTATCCTCAGCCCTTGGCACACAGGACACCACAGCGCGGCAGGAGCGGCAGTGTCACCCGGATGGAGGCCCAGATCCTCTGTCCACAGGAGGCTCCGGGGCTGTCAGAACCAGTCATTCATTCCCAGGAACTCGTGATCAGCAAAGACACGCAGACAGAATCACAGACACGGAACCTGTCACAGCCTCCGGCCGGCTCGTAAGATTACAACATCCACATGCCTGAGAGGCAAACACGGGACAGGAACCAGGCATTCAGGCTGCCCTGGGGCCCGGAACCAGGCGGGAGAGGCCATGAGGGGGGTGCAGGGGAGACAGAGCGGATGTTCCCACGCGGTCTGAAGGGACACTCCTGCATCACCAAGGTTGGGGTCTCCTAGATCCTGGGGATCCCCTTTGGAAGCTGACCCCAGAGCCAGCTCCTTAGGCAGCCTCTGCTCCAGCAGGTGCCCTGACTGGCAATCCACCTAGCAACCTCTTGGTGAGCGGGCGGACGCCCAACCACCCGAGCCATGTGGCCAGGCTGGGCCCCTACAGTAGACAAGGTCTTATCCAGACACGGGGGAGGCTGGATCCGGACAGCAGGGCGCTGGCTCGGAAGGTCACCGGGTCTGGTGGGCAGGAGGCCCGGGAGCAGTATCTCCAGGGGACCACCCAGGTCATTCAGGCTTTGTAGGAAGTGTGGTCGGAAGCGGGGGCGCCACAGCACTACTGGAGAAAGGACTGGTCTTCGTCCTGCAGGAATGAGGGTGGGGGCACCAGAAGGTCGTCCGGCTGCTCGGTATAATCACCATATTGCCCTTTTGTTATTATAGATAGCTCTGCATGGAGACAGCAGTAGTTTTTCTCCTGGAAAATAGAATTGCCTATCACCCCTCTCATAATTTATAATCGAGGGTGCCCGCAAAAGTGTGTACACACTCTAGCAGCTGATAACTCACTGAATTTTCACTCCACTTCAGGCTTAACTGATTTGAAATAATGGGTGAAGCCAGACTAAGCTTTGAACCAAGAAAATGTATCCACCAGTCTTTTTTATGGGGATACATAAGAGATAAAGTTTACGGCACAAAACCCGGCAACAGTTGATGAATTGAGGGAGCTCAAATACCGAACGCAATGATTCTTTTTTAAAAAATATATTTTTATTGATTTCAGAGAGGAAGGGAGATGGAGAGAGAGATAGAAACATCAATGAGAGAGAATCATTGATCGGCTGCCTCTAGCAGGCCCCCCACTGGGGATGGAGCCTGCAACCTGGGCATGTGCCTTTGGCCAGAATCAAACTGGCGACCCTTCAGTCTGCAGGCTGATGATCCATCCACTGAGGCACGGGCCAGGGCGCTATGATCATTTTGTCCCCATTCTGCAGGTGGGTAGCCTGAGGTGGAGGACGCTGAGATCACTGGTGGATGAGCTCACACTTGGGGCACGCACTGCTCGGCCTCTCAGAGGAGTGGTTTAAGGCGCGGCAGGTGGGGGCCAGGATTCCGAGGTGAGAGGCTGTTAGGAGGACCAGCCACCTCTGCAAAGTGAGCCTGAGCCAGGCTCAGAGGGCTTGCTGTGAGCATCACCCTTGCTGTGCTCACCACGGGCGGGAACTGGAGACAGGACTCAGGCTTTCTGAACCTGCGGGCACAGACAGGTCTTGCCCTAAGACCAGAGGGAGGTGTCAGGTGTGTGATCCAGCCTGAGAAGGGTCCAGGGGAGTTTGGGGGTGGCTCTCGAGAGCCCACTGCTCATAAACCTCCAGTTCCGCACTGAGCATTGCCGACTGCGTCCACCGCCTTACAAACCACCTCGGACCCACGCTAGGGCTTCGGGTTTGTTCTGTTTTCTAGGAAAAGGCAGGGAGAACGGCATTCATTCCAATGCCTGATGTCCAAAACTGGACCACGTGGGTGGATTCTTTCAAATAAGCATTTCCACGCTGTGTGCCTTGAGTCAAGTTCCTTAGCTGCCTCAGTTTCCTCCTCTGTAAAAATGGTACAATGCTGTCCTCGCCTCCTGGGTGGCCGGGAGGACTTCGTAGATTAATACTGTCAAGTGCTCTGAAAGGGCGTGACACACAGGAGCCATCAGCATGGACTCCAGTCCTGGCTCATTGGACCGAAGTGGTGTAAGTATCTCTGCGGTGACTTTCCTCAGAATCATCTTTACCCTGCAAATATGTTGTTATTTGAGTGGTAATGAACCCACCCATGCACATGGAATTCATGACTAATTCATGACTAACAGACATAATCCTGGCCATCACTTTTGGACAGCTCCGTGAGCCAAGCACCAGCCTCGGGGTGCTGCGGTCCCCAAAGCCAGGGGTGTGCACACTCACCCAGGAGAGACCTGGGTACCAGCCTTGCAGGTGAGTGGGCTCCGGTCCTTAGCTCAAGTCTTGGCATAGCCCGAAGGACTACTGAGCGTTTACGTCTGCCGTAGCTTACAGTTAAAGCCTCTGTGAGCGGAGCCTTTCAGCACTGACAGAACAGGGAGCGTGATAATAGCTGTTCCCCGTAATGACAAGCCTGTCCCCGCCACAGACTCCAGAGACAGTCGGCCATGGACAGCGGGATGGGGGGTAAACAATGATTTTACTTTTATCTCTGCTAAATGTAACTTCTTTCCAAATATCCTGCTGGCTATGCTTAACATTCATCAGGAGTTATAAACTGTTCTGAGCGTTGAATAAGATGTAAGCGGTCTTATTCAAAACACTGGCCCATGCGCTATTATCTCAACAGGAAATCACATGATCTGAGCGGGGGTTTTAGAACTGTGCCTTCAAAGGCTCATCCCTGGGCAGTTATTGATTGGGGTTCTTCATCAAAAGCGAAATCTCTGAGGACAAATGGTCTAAGATTCAGAGCAGAGGAGAGGAGCTGGCAACAGGCTCGCCCACAGCAAGTCCTTCACAGGCCACGCGGTCCCCCCAGGGCAGTGGGGTGAGGCCCTGCCACACCTGCCCACGCTCAGGGTGCAGCAACATCCTTTCCTAAGCATTTACCTTGGATTCAAAAATCAAACTATTGAGACTGCAATCTAAACACAGTCGCCATCGAACCACAGTGAGCACGGCTCCGTGCAAGGGACCCTGTGCTCCAACCCACA